AAACTCAAATTGGTTGGTTGTAAAGATCGCCCCGCTAGGCGATCAATATGCCTCCATACCAGTAAATCCAGAAGAACGAGAGGGGTTAATCGGAGCCAGTCCCACCAAGATCTCTTCCCACATAACAGGGAAGAAGGGCTCATCAAAAAAAGGCCAAAGGAAAGGCCAAATAAGTGAGATTGCTGAGCCACAAAATTGAGCCAATTTGCGAGCCACCACTATACCCGCCGAATGCAATTCGCGGGCTTTGGCAGCGATGACTGCAGATTTTCCATGTGCAACCAAAAATTAGCACTGAGTGCTGTCTGTGATTACTCTGAGGTTCCTTTTGTGTTGCATTTGAACCCACTACCATTTATTGATTTTGAATTCGATGCCGAGAGCACTAATAAAGCCTGCTGAACGAGATCAGACCATTCCCTCAATCAAGTCGCACCAGAAATAGAAGCAATGGAATTGCCCAGTTATGCCGAAATGAGCGTGGGGACCTCCCGTGAGTAATTTAGGTACTACTCTAATATGGAAGTGTCTGCAGGTAGATGGCCAAACCTAAAACAAGTTCCAAACCCCGAATATGTGCTTGGTGACCTTAAGAAATATATAACTACAGGTATAATATTATAGAAGTAAAATGGGGAAAGAGAGAGCCCAAACAAAAGAACTTGATATGCAAAATTTCCCCTTCCCATTAGCAACTGCAAAAAATTATTCCTCATTGGCTTGCATCCTCAAGTGATTGCAAGCATTCTTGATGTCAACCCGACTAAAAAGCCATTATTTTGAAGAGAAAACTGAAATATAGTAGTCGCTCATGTCTCATACCGACATTCTTGAGGTGACAATTGATCTACCAAAGGTCGATGACCAAATGTTATTTGGCCTTACCATGCTCGAAGGCTTGGTTACCAAGAAAACCCATGAAATTTGGGCATCGGAGAAAAGGTTATGTCTGCACGATCGCCCCCATTGAGAGGTACTCGCCGCGCCCTGCTCTCCACACACTCCACTCCTTGGGAGCCGCCAATGGGTATTCGCCTTGGTCAAAAGGGGGCTGGAGGCCCTGCTGGGCCCCATTGGAGAGGGGCCCCCATATGGACCCATCGCAGGACTCGGGATGGGTCACCAATCCATCGCCACATGGCAACGCGCCCCCAGAGACGGACATAGGGAGGACCCTCTAGGCGGGCGACTTTGGAGGTGGGCTGTGGAGCACAAAATGGGTTCTTGGCCTTGAAATGCCTTTGAAATGCTTGGCGCCACAAGTCGATGCGCCCATGGACGCCGCGGCAGGAGGCTGCCAATTGAGTTAGGCTTGGTGTTGGGCCATGGCGGACTTGGTTGCCAACTTCAACTATTCATTGAGCACTTCCTTGTGGATGTTCGGGTCCCTGTTCTGGCGAGGAACAACAAACGTTGGTCTGGAACGCCTTCCACAACCCATATATGGACGTCCCCTTTTGCTCCCCAGCGACTTGTTGGAGCCTGATGAGGCTCTACAATCGAGTTGTAAGCACCATCAAGCCGTGGACATGCAACAGCAAGGCGTCCCGAAATAGGGTGAAGAAATCTGGGTGCACCACGACGTCGATCAAGGTGGAGGTCAAGTCGTACTGCCACACAGCGTGGGGCGCCCAGTTTTGATACTCTTGAAAGTAGCTGGGGCTCGCCCCGAGCGCCTGGGCATGTTGCCCTCCTTCGGAAGTACGACAAACGTTGAAATTCTCGGGAAATCGTACCCCTGGCGGTCGGACCACCGGTTGGTGACCGACTACGATAACAACTGGGGGTCGGGCAGCCAAACAGCTTCCAGGGAAACTGTAGGCGGATCGCCGTTGAACCACACAGCATGGTCGTGCAGCCGCTACTCGACCAGAGTGCGGTTCACAGAAAGATTTTCAGCCATGAAACAGCTAATAGGGGCACGGCGCTCGGTGCTTTGGGGTTGTGCCAACGAAGTGGTGCAAAGCAAAACAAGACAAAGAGGGAGACCGAGAGGGGGGCTGAATAGCCGCCCCCACTCAGCCCCGCCAAAGCCCGCCAAACCTGAGGGCGCCAAGGTTGGCGGCACCTTGTATTTTCGTACCTTGATTGACCAAAGTTACTAGGGTAGCCAGAAATCCCAAGGGGGCGGGGGCTGAGTAAATCCCAGGTTCAAACTGTGCCGTTTGAATCACAGGTGCAGCCCACCCGTCGTCTCTCTTGGCAGAAACCCATTAATAGGATAGTGAGTGTTATTTATCTCCCAATCCGCTGCCAACAGCGGCTGATCTGATCATTGCCACGCCTGCCTCGGATCGGGTACTATCCATTATAGGTAACAGAAGAGTACGTACTTGACTGTTTCTTGAGCACATAGATTTGTTTAAAACCAGCCCTTGGATGTGAGCGTGTTGTATGAATCTGGCAGAGATGGAAACATCTCTTCCTTGATACTACGAAATATGTGGTATCAGGATGCCGAAGGCTCCTCAGGGTGACGTCGGCACAGGTGATATTTTCCAGTCCTCGTTGCTGTTGCATGGCCTGTTGGCGGCTTTTTGAAATGGTGCCTTCAGCAGGCGGTTTTGCAAAGCACGGAGGTGGGCGCAGCGGTCATTCAGCTTGCGGCGTGCAACGCCACAGATCTGCTCGCCTGCGAAGATGAGGGCGTGTGCGAGCGGCTCGAAGATCAGTGCGTCGACCTAAAGCTCATCAAAGCGAGCGAGTGGTTTGTGGACGACAGTCTGTTCTGCAATTACTTCAAAATCGACTTGACGTGCTTTGTGGACTGCACGGACCCAAATTGCCGACTCCCCAACGATTTCACTCGTGAGTATTGGAGCGCTCTTGCAGATGCACTGTTACAGCTGGAACTGATTGAGCGTTACTAGTAATTGAACATATGAAAAGATGATGAAGCATTAGGATTTGCATTAAGGATGTTGATGAACGAACTGAATATAAAAGACAGAACGCCTTTTGTCCGTCTGCCTCGGCTGTAAACCGTTGCCGTGGACTCGAGCGTACAATTCCCGTTCAGGGATCGCCACCCCTCGACCCTGCCTGCCTTCGCCAGCACCAGACCTGGCTGGCAGAAAATCGAATGTCGCGAGAACTTTGATGTGAGGTGCGTTACCGACGGCTTGGCGGCAAATAAAGACAGCTGAACGTCTTGACTCCGCGGCAGAGCGCACACCTTCTGTGAAGCAAAGCTGTCTTCAACCTCTGATCCAAAGTGCTTCAAACATTTGTTTTCTTGGATTGTTTTGAAGTATCCAACTAACACAATCTCAATCCCAAGGTTGTGTAAGATTTGCAAGCGCAATTGGGGGCAAGGAGAAGGATAGAAGGACTGCGCAATGGATGCCATGTCGTCGTCGTTAGGTACCATTGCCCGAAATGTGCAAGCATCTTATTTCAACGGCATTTGGCGTGCCAGTACTCGGGCTCTCCAGGAATCGCGAGGCTCGAGCAATGCTCAATCAGCATGAAACAGAAACAGGCATGGCCTCAAGCATTGATAAGGGCACCTTGTTGAGAATCACAAGTTGACAAACCCCTGCATACCAGTGGACAACTGCGTTCTAAGCACGAATTTCTACCGACATCTTCCACCCTGCAACACAAGTTGTGCATACATTTTACTATTGCTGCAACCACTGGAGTTCTGCGGCAATGCTTTGCAGTCCGCCTCTCCTGCCACGAACACAAACAGCAGGGAGGATCTCCCTTGACAAGCCACGTTGGATGGGTCAACTTTCATGTTGAATACCACTTTCTGTACCATCTGGGAGCATGGCCCGCTGTCCGCTTGACTGTGAAGAGTTACCGCCCCATTGATAGAATTCCTTTGCGGTGTTGCAGCGCCCTGCGTTCCAACAGCCGAGGCCATCTTGGAGGTCGCATATGCCGATTCAGAAGAGAGGGACGCGATTGAGGAGGCAATCAATGGCTGTCCTGGTTTCACCTCCGAGTCCGAGTGCCAATAGGCTTGTGCATGCGTGGCGGGCGTCACGGTCCCCCGCCTCGATCGGCCCTTGCTGTAGGCCTGAAAAGGCCCCAGCCGTAGGCTTGTGCGTTGTATTATGTATTGAAACGAGGATTGACACGCGCCAGGCTTGGCGCTGAACTCGTGAAGCCTTTAGTCGTGAATGGGGAAGCGGTCGGTGGTGTGCCGTCGCCTGCGCTGAAGGTTCAGAGGCTATCTGTTTGTGGCAGTCAGGGTGGTGCAACTGGATGCAGCTGCTCGACACGACCAGACCGTGCGCACGCCAGATGGCCGGCGCCGGCTGTTATTGGCTGGGACCCTGTTTGCTGTGCTCTTGGTGAGCCACGCAAAGGGGGAAGTAGCGCTGCACATGACACATGCACATGGGTGCCCCACAGCTGTTCTGTGGAGTCAATGTTGGCGAAGGCGAAACAAGATTCCCTGACAGCGCTGTCATAGGTGAGGAGGGCAACCTTAGGCAAGCACTGTGCTCAGTTAGGGTGGTCGACAAGAATAATCGCGCCTCTGCGTGTGCCAAGTCGGTCTCCGAAGCCCAGGGGTGTGCCATTGCCCTTTTTTGCAAGTTTAATGTCTGTTGCAATCTTGCGGCCACGTGTCAGGCTAGTGAGAGGTAGTGATTGAGAGTGCGTTCCCTTGTCTGGCTGTCAGCCCAAAACCATTCTGGGAGCATCTCCGTTAAATTGTCTTACAAGGCAACTGCTTTTCCTTCAAGTCTCAGCTCAGCTCATGCGACTAGGTGAGTTACTAGAGAATTGTAGCAAAATTACGCATGATGATGTAACATTTCCTGAATCCATCGCCGGTCTAGCCCGGTCAAACTTGCTGGAAGTTGCTTGGACTGCTCACACGACAGGCTGGGGGAGGCAAGGCGACAGTCTGCCATGCCAAGGCCTGCAGCCGCCCCTTCACCACCCCACACAAAGAACTGGAAAATGTGCAACAGCTCGTGAGCCTAAAGGACCACAGCTTCCAGCAAGGGTGATCCTACGACCAGTGTGTCTTGGTGTACCCCTTACTTCCCCTGCGCCGCCCCTTTCCCAATTTCCATCGCAATGGCCTGCAGCAGGCGATCCGGAAGGCACTTCAGATTGTCCAGCTCAACTGGCTCAAGCGGTGATTTCTCATTCACCCTGCTGAACCAGCCGCTGATGACCGCTGCAGCCGAAGACTCACTGCCGTCTCGCGAAGAGGAGGCACCATCACATTGGCTCTTCGCCTGGCCGACACCAACAGGCACCCTGAGTCACTGGTAGCTGTTCGTACCGTTTCCTGTCATGTGAATCTCGCACAGCTATCTCTGGCTCAACTCGCGTGCAAGGGAAATACCTACCGTCCCACTGGTCGTCAGGTTACTGTTGGGGCGGTTTCTCTCCGCCTTCCTGAGCGCCGCTGCCACGCGCAAGCGCCGCTGGTCGTCCTCATACGAAAAGGTCACGTTGGAGAGGGCTGATGCTGCCAGATCTCGACACTTCTCATCACCTGCAAGCCAAATACCTGGTAACTACACTTGCCTTGCAAGACTCCTTGCAGGCTGGTGGTGATGTGGCCGTCTTGCAACCCAATTGCATGTTTGTCCCTAATCCATTCAATTCTCTAAATTCTCCTGCTTGCACTGAGTGCAAGCGATTGCAGAGGGCAGGCTGAGCCAACGCTTCCTCAGAAAAGTATGGCTGAAGAAAGTGGTGACACGCATCAAGAGGAATCAAGACATATTCAATCCAGAGTGTCAATTGGGCCATAAACGTAAGGCCCAACCCACAGCACGGTAATAGTGACAAGCTGCACTACAGTGAGAAGGATGCGCTGCTAAGGAATACAGGCACAGTCACAGAGATCTCAAACAAAAACGACAAGAGGCATCAAGCAACCAAAACACTGCTCTTAAACATCTTGCAGGTGACTTTGCATGCATTACTGGGGCCAGAAGCCACGGCAAAGCTCCTGCACGATACAGGCCCTTACATGGATAACATGCAATCAATTCTTGTTCATGTCCTATGAACCAAGCCTGGAAACACCCTGGTAGCACGTGACAGATGCAGCAAATGATTGCCTGGCAAGTGTCTAGGGATTGCTTGCCAAATCCTCAAGTGCCAGGAAGCTGTTCTCATGTGTGCCAAATTCAAAGTACTGGATCAAGCATGAATACCCACAGATGCTTTGACCAATGACTTACTCCAACAAATGACTGCCAACTCTACAAATGTTGGATGGTCTTGAGAACCAGAAAGGGAGAGCACACTAGCATGCCTGCCTGCATTTACATGGCAGCACTATGGTGCAGTTCCCTTTAGCTGATTTGGACTTCTTTGGACTACCATGTCGTTCACAATTGTACCTGCTGTGAGGCAGCAACTTAGCAATAGGGGTCCAGGACATGCAGCGTGTCCCAGTGAACATGGCACACGAGGGCCCAGCACCAGTGGCGCCGTGCATTCCTAAGTGGACTACAGAACACACCAACCAGTAGATCTTCACGTCTGTGCATGAATGGAAAGTCACCTGAGCAGGTTGCTTCTACCTGGCAGGCGTTCGTGCCTGTCATGCTGCAATGCCCACAGCTTCTTTGAAGGCATCTGCCAATTGGTGGCCAAAATGTGGACATTTTCTGTGGCATGTGCTTTTGTTGACAGGGGAGCACACAAGCAGCAACAAAACTTGCACAATACTGAAAGCTAGTGGCCAACTCCACTGATCGGTGCATCACAATAGGCCTTACACTTCTCGAGCACAGGAGACATTGTTGTGGGTACATAAGTTCACACACATGCTTCTTTGGGCTTAAGTTGAAGTGGTCTCTGATCTCAATTGGTGTGCAACACGAGCGGAAGATGAGACCCTCCTACACACCTGTGTGCAGCAAGTGGATCAGCCATCTGATGCATCCACTCTGAGCGATGGCCTCCTGGTTCCCTTCCACAAGTGCCAGATTTGCCAACGCCCTGACAGCACTCACCCTCAGCTCTACATTCTCCTCGACAAGAAGGTCTGCCAAGTTCAGTACTGCCTCAGAGTGCCCGATCTCCTTCCTGATCTCTGTTGTGGATTCTGACAGGCTTGCAACAGCATGAGCAGCATGCAAACTTGCATACCCTGATTTCGAAGCCAGCAGTGACGCGAGGAGGGGGATGCCATCACCTGCAGCAATGCCAGCAACGATGCTCTCCCTGATCTCAGGAACAAGAGCTTCAACACCATCCAGCAGTGTGGCAATCGCATAGGCCGCCTGCTCCTGGTTGTCCCCCGACAACATCGCCACCAGCCCAGGGATCGCACCATGGTTGACGATGTCCTTCTTGCACTCTGGGTGCACAGCCAACGATGCCAGGCACCCCGCCACCAGCCTCCGCGTTTCTGGCCACTCGGACTGCACAAGGGGCACCATGTGCCGGATCGCCCCCGCCTCTTCAATGGTCTCGTGGGCGGCCCTGCTGATGGCCAGATTGGCCACCAGCCGCACTGCTTGGTGCACCTTCACCTTGTCCTGATCGGTCAGCCGCTCCACCACCAGCGTGACCCCCGCCCCGCCCTCCCACCTCACGATCGCGTTGCGTGGCCTCTTGCTGCGGGCCAGGTTGCCCAGCGCCGCCAGCGCCATCTTCTGTGACCCGTCCTCCGCCACTTCCACTATCTTCATCAGATGGGGCACGGCCCCCCGGTCCACAATCGCATCCCTGTTCCCCTCCTCCTGCGCCATGTTGCACAGCGCGCACGCCGCCATCGCCACCTCCCCGGGCGACTTCTCGAACTCCTCCAGCACTTCCACCAGCTCGTTGATCGCCCCGTTGCGCCGCATCACCCGCCTGGCCCTGGACCGCATGCTCAGGTTGGCCAGCGCGTAGGCCGCCTTGCAGCGGCACTCCTCCTCGTCGGGGTCCCCAAGCATCTTGAGCAGTGGCGCGATCCCCCCCAGGGTCACCAGCTCGTCCTGCCCCTCCCTCCCTTCGCTGAACTTGGCCAGCGCCCGGGCCGCCAGCACCCTCTGCTTGTCGCTGATCGCCTCGGACAGCTTGAGCATCACCCGCACACCCCCATCCCTTGCCATTATCGCGGGGATCGGCGGTGGCGCCTCGGAGAGAATGCACAGGGCGCGGGCCGCGCGCTTGCGGTCCTCCTTGTCTCCAGTGCCCGCGAGGTTGGCCAGGGGTGGGATGCCGCCGAACTCGGCCACCTGGGCCACCACGACTGCTCCCTGCAGCTTCATCAGCTTCACGGTCGCCCACAGCGCGCGCTTCCGCCTGTAGGCGTTCTTGGAAGTCAGGGGCCTGCCCACCAGCGTCTTCATGCCCCCTGCGTCCACAAATGCCGCGCCGCGCTCCGGCGATTGGGCCAGAACGGCCACGACGACCGTCGCGCACTCCTTGGCCGGGTCGCTGCCGTCGCCCAGGATGTGGATCAGCGGCTGCAGGCCGCCCTCATTGATGAAGGCGTCGAGCACCGCTTCGTTGGTTTCGGCGAGATCGGCCAGAAGCGCCGTGGCCTGCTCCTGGCACGACTCGTCGCCGTCGCGCATCTGGGACACGATCCACGTGACGTCCTGGTGCTGGCTGCAGCTGCCCTGCAGCAGGGCGCCCCGGCGGTCGTAGGTGGGCTCGCCGCCGGAGCGCAGGGAGAGCATGCGCACAAGCGTGCGGCCCATGCCGAGGCCGCCCGGCGCGGCGTCGGCCGACATCTCTGGGGCGGCTGCCTGCGAGGCATGGCGGGCACACAAGCGCCTGGTCCCTCAGTCGGCGCACGAGCTGGGCGTGAAAGGAGTGGATCGCCAAGGCAGTGGTGGGCGGTCGAGAGTCCGTCCGCAAGGCCATGGAGAGTTTGCGAGTCCCGGCAAGATACAGGCGGCGAGGTACAGTAGGGGTCCCTGTACAGGCGCCCCCCAAAATAGCGTACCCCCAACAGCGCCCCCCTTTTCTGGCTTGTCACCATTTCTGTAGTACTTTGTTTCACTGCGACAGCCTGCAGCTTCGGCGCTACGACCAAGTCGCTAGCCCCAGAAGCCAGTATGGCTCTTGTGGGCCGAGTGTAGCGTACCCCCTACACCGACGGCCAGGATGCCCCCTATACCGGCAGCCTGGGTAAACCCCCTACACCGGCGGCTAGGGTATCCCTTACACAGGCAGCCATGGTACCTCCTACACCAGCGGCCTGGGTACCCTGTACACCGGCTGCTTACGGTAACCCCTTCACACAAAAGCGCCCCCGGCCCCCCCTAGCGCGCCCCCCTTTGGCCATGGGAGGGGGCGCTACATAGGAACCTACTGTATTTTTGAGTTTCTTACACATCAAGGCGAAGACGCGGCCACCCGATTTCTATTTCGCCTGCGCAAGGAAGTGCCCATGACTACATCTTCACGGGGCTGTCCTTTAGACGAGCCTGGGGCCTTTTGCCAGACTGGTTTGGGGGGTTCATGGCACACTAGCTGCCAGAAAGACTCCAACTGGAAGTGTTCTCTTTTCAACCGCCCTCCACCGGCTCAAACCACGCTGTTTGCGTCTGTACTTTGGAGCGAACCAGGACGAATCGCTTGCTGCAAACGCAGTAACGAAAAGGAAATCGTATCATACTCCTCCGCAAACGGCAGCCTGGCACAACTGGACTGCAGGCGTCGAGTCGAGCTGGAAGCTGAGCTCAAACGCACCTCTGGGAAAAGAAAGAAGGCACCGAGCGTCGCCGAACGCTGCTTCAATCTCAGCAGGACCAGAGAGATGTTTCAGCTGGTGGCACACAATCGCATGCCCCGCATCGGCCTCAGAGCGAAACAACCACTTCCCCGTCCCTCCTTCCTTCCACATTCGTGCGCACACCCACAGTTTTTGGGCCAACCATACCCCTGAACTTAGTTCTTTTGCCACTACCCCAACCCAATTGGTAAACAATTACTGGCTGCATGCACCAACTCCCTCCAAAACTTACCTAACCTAAAACCTTAAACTGAACCTGCCCTAACCCTAAAACTCACCCTAAAACTAAACCTAACCCTGAAACTGAGGTTAGGACATAATGTGCACGTGATTTGGTGCAAGCATCACCGATTTGGTGCAGGCAGTAATATTCCTTTCCCCCCCCCCCCCCCCCCCGCGCCTGCTGGTCCGTCCCAGCCGCTCACCGTGCCCGCGGCGCCTCCCACACAACAAATTCGCCATGGTGTTTCGGGCCGCGCCTGCGGGCCCTCGGCGGGCGTCGGTCAAAAGGCTCTTCGCGAACCGCACCACCGAAAACAGCGCAAGCGGGCACGACAAACTCATCAATCCCCCGCCTCCCAACTCTGACTCCCCGAATTCTCACTCCGCCACGGGCATTCCGAAGTCGGACGGAAAATGAGGCCGGAAGGAGAAACCACTGCTCGCTGCAGCGACGTGCCGACTTGCGGCGCTTGGACCTGATCCGCAAGATTTCGGCTCATCGCGCAGACTGCGCGCGTTCCGCCCCGCGGAGGCCATGCGCCGCCGCGAACGCGACCCGAGCAGGGCGAGCCGCGAGGGAGCGGCGCCCGCCGAACGCCGCCGCGATTGCACGGCGAATACCATGCAAACTCGCCAGGAGCCCCGGGGCACCTCGGGCATGGCTGGACGAGCGACCCGAACGTGCCGGGAACGCAGCCAGGGGACCTACTGCGCGGACATTGGCGCATGTGTGAGGGCCACGGGCCGGCAGGTAAGGCCAAGGTGTCTACGCAATCGGGCCTACAAAAACCGCGGACTCACGTGGGGCGTAGATTTGAGTCAAATCTCACCGCTGGAGCGCTCCCTTTCGCGGAACGCGCGTCGCGGGGGCGCACCCCGAGCGGCGACCCTCCCTGCCGAAAGTTTGGGCCCGATCGGCGGCCCACGCCCCGCAACTACCCGTCGGAAGCCCGCCCGGGTCGGCTCGTCTTGAGCCACATCCCGGCGATCGAATCCCGGGCAGCCGGGTGGCCTAGGCGCGCCGCCCGCCGGCGCCAGTGGCGAAGGGGTTGATGGAAGGAGGCACTGATGCCCAGCGGCATTGCGCGTGAGGGCGGGCCTCACCAGGCAGGGATGACGGCAGTGGCGACGGCAGGACCTTGGGACTGGCGGCGCCGGAAGCCACGACCCGCTCCGCTGTTTTTCTGCCCAACGGCGCACCGGTGGGATGCTCTGTTTGCGCAGGCAGACAGGCGACGCGGCGCCGAACGGGGGCGGAGAGGAGCGCTCGTGTTGCCCCCGCGGCTGCCCCTTGCGCCCGGGCAGGACATCAATTTGCGGGCGCTTATTCCGAGGGGTGATGCCCAACGACCCTCCAGAAGGGAAGGGCGTAGTATTAGGTGGCCCTGGTTCGGTTGTGTACACAACTCGCACATGTGCGAGTTGTCAGATGATGCCCAGCCTTTACTAGGCCAGAGCTCCGCGCTTCCACGCGCATTGTGCCCAGCCTTTGAGAGGCCGCTTGCGGGTTGTGGCGCTGGAGCTTGAGTTGGTCGAAGGCGCGCAACTGCTAGATGACCAGGTGAATGGCATGGCGCGGAGTATGTCACCAGGGTAGTCGCCAGCCCGGTGGCAATAAGGATGCCCGTTGGCAACACAGGCGCAACACAAACCCATTAGCAATAATCACTCGCCGCCTCACGCACTGTCGGCACACACTACCGCGTAAACCACGAGAATACATTAGTCCCTCTTTTCCGTGAAGATCCCTTTTTCTCACGCTGACAAGGCCAACGTGGGGCAGTGGTTTAGGGTTTAGGGTGTCGAAACAGGAAGGGATCTTCACGGAAAGACACAGCGACTAATTTCATGCCGCAAACCACTGCCACAGCGCCCCCGTGCGTCGACAGCCCACCTGTCGCGCTGCCATTCAAGTTTGCCCCTTTGGCTCCGCACCCAATCTCGCTGCGGCTGCCATGGGCTCCTCAGTGGCATGGCACACATTTGTTGCAGGCGACTCAGCTCTCTCCTCCAGCTGCGCCTGGAGGTGTGCCGTCCTCAATGCGTTTGCTTCTGCGCAGAGCCCCACCGCACATTGTGATTTCCCCCCCCCCCCCCCGCCCCCCCGGCCATCATCATCAAACTATAGTTTAGGACGTCTTCGGCTATTAACCTCAAAGACGGTGACGAAGGCAGGCAGGGTCGAGGGGTGGCGATCCCTGAATGGGGATTGTACGCTCGAGTCCGCGGCAACGGTTTACAGCCGAGGCAAAAGGACAACAAACGTTCTGTCCTTTATACCCAGTCCGTTCATAAACATCCTTAATGCAATCCCTAGTGCTTCGTCATCTTTTCATGCATTCAGTTATTAATAACACTCAATCAGTTCTAGCCGTAACAACGGCCATCCATCCGCCCAAGACTGTGTGTGGCCCAGCGCCTTCTCTTCGTTTGTACAAGCCCGCGCTGCATTTCTGTCGACGTCGAGGGTATTTCCCTTCAATCCACCAGCGTGTCGTTGAAGTCCCCACTTGCCCTCCTTGGAAGAAATGTGATTGAAACCTGGTCGGTCCAAAGCAATAGAGAAGTGAATAGTTTCAGTGTCTTGGAAGCAAATACCAACTAGCGTAAGGTAGGGCGATGGAGGCAAGGTACATCTGCATTTTGGTGTGAAATGGATTCAGCATCGTGGGTGCATTGTCATTTGCGCAAAACCGCAATGAAAATGATTCAGAACCTGTTTAGCAGCGTTAAAGCACTGCATGGGCACATGGCAGCGCTCGCCTACATCTGGAAATTGGGATGGTGTTGCAGCAACGTTGATGGGCCTTGATGGTAATGGTGCCGCTGGGAGACAGTGACACGGGTTCCTATTGGGCGACGTTGACGCAAGACGTGCACATCAACGATGCGGCAACGCCACCATTGCTGCAACGTTGCTGTCAAGCACTATTGCTGATGTTTTGCTGCAACGTTGCTGTGATGGGTGTTGCTGCAACGTTGCTGTGATGGGTGTTGCTGCAACGTTGCTGTGATGGGTGTTGCTGCAACGTTGCTGTGATGCGTGTTGCTGCAACGTTGCTGCGATGCGTGTTGCTGCAACATTGGCCCACACTGGGTCGATGCAACGCTGCTGGACGGCAGCTTGCAGCAATGCTGCTCTGACATGACTTGTTGCAAGGTTGATCATTACATGCAATGTCCATACCACATGCCCAAACCACATACATTTCCTGAACACACCCCCACTAGAGCCCTACATTCATGTGTTTATGAATGTCACAGGTCATGCACCGCTATGCTAACAAACCCACAATACTAGCAAACTGCTTTGCAGCCGAACCATCATGCAACGAAGAACAAACCCACTGCACTAACAAACTGCTTCCTGCCGAACCAAGATGCATGTCACCAAGAAAGCACGCAGCCATTGTCAGAGTGAACTGATATCGAAGACTGCACCCAGCGATCCCCTCGTTGGCATCAATGGCATGGGCTGGTGTGCGCAAAACATCAATCCTTACAGATGTCCAGCTGACCTGACCCTCTGCCGCAACACACGACCATTAGTCTCCTCAACCTCCAATTCTTCTCTCAGCAACATCCAAGCAACCACACTGTTCTGACAGAAATGGAGTAGGTGAGCCCGCAGACCGGATCCCACAAAACGACACACACAGCAGTGGGACCGAACATGAGCAGCACAGTAGATGCAGTTGCAGCCTTGCATGTTGCATTTTTGCACACTGGTCAAGCAAAGGTAGCTTTTCTAAGACCACCGATCGTCTCCAT